CACTGTCCAACCATCTTCGCTGGGGCTGCTGGAACGCTTGCGCTCAATGAACATAGTTTCCAAGCTGCCGTCCAAAAATTGGCTTGACAATCCAAGGACATCAGCCAACCTCATCTTGCCAGTGTCTCGGTTTGGCCTCACACGCATTGCCTGGCCAAACAGGTGATGGCAATAGTTTATGATGGAAGCTAAATGCTTATTTATGTATCTACCCTTTGGTGCCACATTCGAATTGGTACAAATATTACATCTATTTATTAATGGTTCTTATTGAACGTGTTCATTCTTCTTGTTACTATTATTTCTATTTTGTTGCATGATTGAAGCCACAAAATGTTTTGTAGAATCAGGAAACGTGTTTGAAACATGCATATACTGCAGATCAAGTATCACGGCTCTGTGCACATATGAAGGCATAGTGGATGAACTTAAATATATTATTGTATATGTGGCCATCCCAGGAAGTGCGCTGCTTGCTTTAACTGCTACGGATAACAGTAACACCTTGTTGCGCTGCTTGCTTTAACTGCTACGGATAACAGTAACACCTTGTTTAGTAATAATGGCAATATTACTGACGCTAAAATAGCAATAGCAGGTGCAGGTGGTTCAGTAATAGAAGTGCAACCAAAGTTCCAGCAGCAGCAGGGAAGGAGCAGTAGTAGCAGTAGCAGTAGCAGTAGCAGCAGCAGCAGTAGCAGTAGCAGTAGAAGCAGTAGTAGCAGTAGCAGTAGTAGCAGAAAGTAATAGTAGCAGTAGTAGTAGGTTGTCGTCGTCGTCGTAGAAGTAGTCATACTAATAGAGGCAGTAGCAGTAGCAGTAGCAGTAGCAGTAGCAGTAGCAGTAGCAATAGCAGTAGCAGTAGCAGTAGCAGTAGCAGTAGCAGTAGTAGTAGTAGTAGTAGCAGTAGCAGCAGCAGCAGCCCCAATAGTAATAACAGCAATGGCAGCAGTAGCAGGGTAAAACTATTATTGGCAATAGTGTAGCAGTAGCAGTAGCAGTAGTTGTTGCTATAGTCAATGTAGTTGTCAATGTTGTTGTAGTATTAGCTGTAATCTTGCAATTTGGCATAGTAGCAGTATAGCAATGCAATAATAACATGGAATATGGAATACGCGCGCGTTACAGCACCTAGAGGGCTAAGCAATCACGCAATGAAAATATTTGACTAGTTCGCTACCCGCTACCCCAGAAACACGACAGACAATTTGGGGGAATGAATTCTCAATCAAAACAGCCTTGGCATTATTCTGCTTCCTTTGCTTCACTTTCCGAGGTGGTAAATAGGCTCTCCGGTTGCCAGGACCTTTCGTGGCTCGCCAGAAAGCAAGAATCCCATCCAGCAAAGAAAACTGCAAAGCTGTCTTCTTGGACTGGGCGCGGTCTAGCAGGAACTTTGCGAACCTGAATCCATTTTGCATGTATTGCATCCACAACTTTGACATTGAGCACTTGGCAAAAATGAGAATAAAAGCATGCCAATTTCTTTCAGGAAACGGCGGATTGCGAAGATACACCGCCACCAACAATACACCCAGCTGCTCAGTCCTTTCCAACTGTAGAAATGAAGCAGTCTCCTGCAACTTGAACAGGTGCGTCGTAAGCTTGTCATGTCCTGACAGCAAAGCCAATTCATGCGATCACCAGCAGCAATATCAAATTCCATATATGCAATCCATGACAACTCTACTTCAAACGGCACGGCTGCTCTGGCTGCAGAGGGCAGCTTGACCAGACCCTTGGCCGCGCCGATTTGACCCTTCAATGTGCCATTTTGAAAAAAATGCGCGTTGAAGGGTCAATTTGGCGCGTTGAAGGGTCAAATGCACATATGTATGTATATAGATAAAATACACATATGTATGTGTATATATATATATATAAATTACATTTAATATACATTTATATATATATATATACACACTATATAATACATGTATAATATATATACAAATATGTAAACACAATAATTATATATATATTAATATATATATGTATATATACATATACATGTTCATAATATACATTTATATATACATATATTATTTCAATATAATATTTATTAGTATTATTATTATTAAATATATATTAAAAGTTTTGAGGGGCAGGGCCAAAACAATTCTGCGAAACTTCCTCAATTTTTGAACTTGACAAAACCAAGAGCGAAACAATTCTGCGAGGCTTTCTCAATTTTTGAACTTGACAACATCAAAAACGAAACAAGTCTGCCAGACTTCGTTAATTTTCGAAGTAGACAATATCAAAAACGGAACAGTTCTGCCAAACTCCCTCAATTTTCGAAGTAGACAACATCAAAAACGAAACAATTCTGCAAGACTTCCTCAATTTTCGAACTTGACAACACCAAAAACGAAACAATTCTGCGAAACTTCCTTCAAAAATGGAAAGTTAGCAGAGCTGATGGCCTCATACCAATGCGTTCTGCGATTTGTCCACTTCACCTGTCTAAGGTGCTGCACCTGTCACACAAAATCATCTCAGCAAGCCTGAAGATCTGATGCTCCAAAATGCAACCTCTCTCAGGAAATCAGCGCCCTGACCTCCGAACAGCTCTGATGAACATGTCACTTGTATTGTGCCTGCCACGTGAAAGACATCTTGCAAGATCCTCTGCATATGTCCCACGCCTGCCATTGTTTTAGGAAATGCAACAAAACCCTCGCATGTTGCTCACTTTTGACCAGGTGCATAATCCCTGAGGCCTGCCATGCAAAACGACATCTGAACGTCAAAAGCACTCCGAATCCGTATTTTTTTTACACTTTTGACTTCGAAATGTGCTTTGTGCCACAGCGGCATGCACTTTTTCGACATCTTAACTTCCAAACTTGCTCGGACACTGAGGTGTTTTGTACATGTTGCACATTTTGTACTTCCAAAAACGATTTCCTACAACATGACCCTAGAAATCGACCTTTTATGGGCTTTGAGGGCAGCCATTCTTCAGGGGAAATTGGAATGGAGAGAGAGAGATATATATATATATGTATTTACTTATTTACTTATTCATTTATATTTGATATTTGTAAATATTATATATATATATATATATATATATACTACGCACCGCCTACACTATAAATAGCATTTATATTAATACATAATTATTGTCATAAAGCAGGTGAACATGGGAAAAAAACGCTGCAGAAATGGTCGACCCTGCAATAAGAGCTGATCCTGCCAGACATGGCATGCCACAAATTTCATGCATCACATGAATCAATAGCCGCTGGACTCTTCTGAATAGTGCTGAATCATGCTGGATAAATACAACAGGACCAAGTAGCAACTATCAAAATCAAAGCGATACGATGATACGATCACCAACCAAGCCCTGGTGATCGCATCCCCAGACCATGCATTAGTCAAGCATCCCCTGGCTTTGGACACTGGGTGCAGGAAGCAACCTTCACAGGCTCTCCGGAATGTGTATGCCTTTCCCTGCAATCGCAAGAAGGGGTTCGGCAAGTTCAGGATCTTCAAGACCAAATTTGAAGGCTCCTGCACAAATCTTGGGCAGCTTGGGCAACTTTGATGGTGGAATTTGGCACCACAAACTTCACATGACGATTTCCCCATGAGATTTCCAAAAGCTATTGATTGAATAATGACCACAAGAAAAGCAGCTCCGAGGCCAGCGGAGGAATGTTGCACTTGGCACGGTACAGCAGGTAGGCAGCTAGCAATGCCTGAACTTCAAGCAAGCGCTCTTTAATCTAAAAAAGGCTTACTTAGAAATCAGAATGAGCGAAATGAGAATATCACAGCTGCGAATATCACCAGAAAAGGAAAAGCGAAAAAAGGCGACTGCAATGGCAGCAACAACGACAACAACCTCCACCACTGCCTCAATAACACCACAAACACTGCAACAGCACAAGCAACAACAACCTATCCCAATCTCATTGCCAACCAAATACGCTAGGGGCTCGTTGGGCTGGCACCCCTCTTAGCAGGAATTCAAGCAAGGGGATCAACTCCTTCTCGCCTCCCCAGAAGCAGTTTTTGGCAGCCTTGGCAAAACAATGTCACATGCATTGTTTCACCGCATGTAGTTGTGAGTGATATAGCTCTGGTTAAAACAAAGGAACTGCATAAGCAATCCTGGCTGTTCTATTCATCTCGTTTGGAGCGTGCCCAGCTTCCACACTTCGCAGCCACAGGCTGGCAGCTTTGCTTGCAGAAATCGGCACCGGCGGCATTCTTGAGCACCTGCGCATTGGAAGAGTGGTGGGCTGGCAAAAGCTTAAAATCAACACACTTGATGGCTGGCAACTTAATATTGAACATCTGACCCTTGGGCGGAAAATTTGACCCTTCGTTGTTGCTCTGACCCTTGGTTGACCCTTGGTTGACCCTTGGAGGACAACCTCGCTCGGTCTCGCGACCCGGAGGCGTATTGCATTGGGCTATTGGGGGTGTATTGGCAAGGGAATTGCACGTCTCAATACGCCTCCTGGTCTTGAGACCGGGAGGATGAATTCATAGGTGGAATGCTCTTGTCAAACTGCGTTCCTTGAGTTTCGGTATTTGGATGGGAAAATCACGTCTCAATACGGGGGGTCAGTCTTGAGACTGACAAGCGTATTGCAAAGGGATGGAAGTCAAGGTTTTTTTGAAATCCGCAAGTTTCGCTTGCTTTCGATTGCACAATCAGCCCACTCACGGTCTAGCGAATTTGCCAGACACTCCCCGAGACTGACGAAACACCCTGATGAATTTCAAAAAGCATTGCATGTCTGCCATTGAACCAATCCTCTTCACAGTGGTTCTTTTCTTGGCAGTGCTTGCAGTGGCTGCTTTGTGCTCCCCTATTAGCAAGGACCAGCGCTTCTCACTCATTCCGGCACACAGCTTGAAAGCAGAAGTGAGGGTTAAAGACCTTCAGCTTCGACAGGTATTCCCAAGGCTCTCAAAAATCAATCAATCCATCTGCATTTGAAATTTAAAAAGACTTCATTATCAATGGCAAAACTTGCTCAAACTGAGATGACAAGCTGCCTAGCTATATCGCCAAGCAAATGAATCTGCAAGCTCTTGGTCTTCATCGCTGGCTTGAACCATTGAAACTTGCTCAAATTCCATGCGCCGCGTGGTGTTTCTGCCAAATCTACTCTCCGCACTATGCATGAGCCCTTCGCAAAGCAGACCAACAGTGCCGCAGCCTCAGCTTGCAAGTGAAACAGATGGCATTGGGCAGCAGTGGTACCTCACCTGGAAGCAAGGGAGTGAAGCAATTGGCAGCACACTTTTTGTCAATCTCAAGGAGGAAAGCTTTTGGTTGAGCCACTGACCCAAGCAGGCTAGGATGCCTGCAGGTCATCGTACTGTGCACAAACGAATTTGGAATGCAAATGAAAGAGCCACAGGCTTAGCAGGCCCAGCGTGTTCCACACAGGCAAGCTTTATGCTCAGGCATCCGTGCAAGCAATGCATTAAAATTCTTTAATTTGGAACGCTTTCCAACTTTCTTTGACATTGGGAGCATACCAAACCGAGCCTTAAGTTGCATTTCCAACTTCTTCTCCCACTTTGTTGCAGCCTTTGGCTTTCTCCGTGCAACTCCCATGGCAGCTTCTGCTGAGACAGCAATGGCTGCTGGTTTGGCTGGTGCTGCTCGGGCTGCTGGGTTATGCCAATCAACCAAAGAAAGAGCCAAGAGCATGGCAAGACCAACTGTCTGTAGATGCATCATGTTGCCTCCCATGCACTCCAGGTCACTGTCTGATACACCTTCTGGTATCACCATGCGATGAAGAGGCAAACAGTGCAACAGCAGTTTTTCAGCTGGAATGAGACATCGGGCAGCTCCTGCAAGGACAATGTGACCTCCAGGGGTGATAGTTGGCAAAGCCCCATCAGTGCGACAAGGCATCCTGCCCAAGCTCTGGGAGATGTCAGCTACAACCTTTGCAGGATCTGTTGTGGTGCGGATCAATTTCCACCAGCCATCACGCTCCCGAGGCAAATGCAATAGGAGCCGGTCAGGAGTCAGTTGTGCCAGCTGAGGGTTGCCTTCAGCCAGCTTGAATTCACGTCCTGCGGCCCAGTCTGCATGCGCTTGCTGCCATTTTGTACGAGTGGATTTGTCAGGGAAACCTTGCTTCTGAGCATGCTGCCACTTTTCAAGGCAAGTGGCCTTGTGAGCGAGCACCAAGTCATGGTCACCTGGTAGAATTCGATTGAACAACGGAGCCAAGCCAGCTGTGCTGCTGGTGCAGCTGGTGCGTCTGGCATGACTGGACCGCTTCTGCTTCAGGTTAGACCACACCCTTCGATACATATCTTGAGCCTCATCTTGACCAAGAAGCGCAACATCTGCACGGACACCGACAAAGTAGTACCGTGGTCGGTTGACTGGCTCCCCCAAGTCAACAGGGTTCAAAGACTCCACAGCCACAATGTAGCCAGCCTTTTGCAGCAATGACAGCACCTCACTCATGCATCTCGATATTCCCTGGACATTCTCTAGCACAAAAGCGGGCGGCTGGAGCTGCTGAATGCGATTTAGCACAGCAAAGAATATGTTTGCTTCAGGCTCCTGAAGCAGCTTGGTGCCACCATGTAGCATTGAAAATGGCTTACAGGAAAAGCCAGAGATGTACAAGTCAATCGAAGGAACTTCATCATCAGTGCGCGTGACATCCTCCAGCAAGGCAACATCTGGAGGCGTGTTAGCAAGAATCATCTGCCTGGGAGCCCATGCAGATTCACAACTGAAAAGATGCTGGAAGGGAACCCCCATAGCTTGCAAAGAATGCACGGGGCTTTCAACTCCGCTGCAATCCGTTCCAACACGGAGGGGGAAGGCGCTGCCGGGGCGGCTAGAGCTACTGGTTGCAGAGTGCGGAATGCTTGGAAGCAGCCCCTCCCACGATGGCAAGAAACTTGGAGCTTCAAGTTTCAATACTTCGTCAAGATCCTTCCGCAAAAGATGGCCCCAACTATCTAGCCATGTGCGCAGGGTGGGAGGCAAATCGACTCGGTATGACATGGTGGCTTAGGCTTGGCTTGCTATGAAACTAGCTGCAAAAACCATGAGGCTTGCGTTCATTCAATAAAGCCTGCATGCTGGTTTGAAAGATATCAATGTGTGCACAATTGGCTACCTTTGGCAATCTGAGCAATGAAGAAACAACTTGCAACATAATGGTCCAGCAGCTCCTTACTGAGTCGGCGACATATTGTTTTTCCAGGGTCTGCAGGTCCATGTCCGAAAACTCCTCAACAACGAACAGGTCAGCTTCCGAGGCAGCCATAGGCGATAGCATGGTGCAGCCATGTGGGCACTTCAAGGATGGGGCATCTTTGTGCAGAAGCCGGAATAGAGGCACAATCCTTGTAGTCTTGCAAGTCTGCAAATGCATAGGTAAAGATTGAGAAGCTGGAGCAGCAAAACCTCCACTCTTTGGCTCAGTGGGAACGTATGGGTTCTGCCCAGCCTGCCTTCGTGCAGAAACAGTTTCATGTCCTTAGCTTGAGAAAGCTGTAAGAAGCTCCCAACCCAGAATCCAGAAACACATATCCTCTGGAGGCAAGATTCCCAAATTAGCAAACACTGCATTCAACTAATGCCTTAAGCTAAACAAATATGAGAACCTAGCCTGCTTTCGAGCCGTGTGCTCTTGAAACAGCTGTGCAGGATGCTTCTTCTGCTTTAAGGTGCTTGGAAGTGATGAAGTCGCTGAACTGCTCCAACGGGTGCCTTGCAAAGCTGCAGAGGAAGCATTTGAGGCATTTGCAGGCAACAAAGGTAATTCCAAGCCATCCACAAAAGACGCAACTGCAGCTTGGCCAGATGCAGCAGCTGAAGTTGACTGGGCAGCATGAGCAGCTTGGCACAATGTCTTTGATGCTACTTTCCGTTGGTGCTTCACAAATGCAAAAGTGCCTTTGCGTGGTATGCCTGTGCGCTTACCTGCCGTGATGTTTTTCTTGGCAGCCTTGGAATACTTATACTGGAAACGCCTCCCATGGGTGGAGAGCCACAGCTTGGCACATGCTTTACTGAACTCTGTGGGCAAAAGCTGAACCTGAGAGCTGTGGGCAGCACGTGCAGCTTCATACAACTCACTCTCTTTTTGGGGGCCGTCCAAAGCCACCCCAAGGACTGCTGCAAGAATGTGGCCGTCAGCAGAAATTGGCCCGGAGTGATTTCGAATTTGCTCGCACAACTGGCCCAAGTTCCTCTCAAGGGTGGTGGTGTTCACCTTCACAGCCAAATAAAAAGAAATCAGCGTCGCCAAATCTGCAGGGCGCCGAAGCCGGTGAAAACTTGGCATGTGATGGGCGCGCCATTCTTCGCACAATACCCAGCTCCAAGCCAGCCGATTGGAAATCTGGAGCCTGTTGGCATCAGCAGCTTGCACTACCTTCAGAAGACCTTTCGCAGATGTCACAAAGTCGGGTTGCACCCTTGCATCCAACTTGAGCGCTTTGCTCAAAGTTTGAACAAGAGGCTCAAGCATGCGCTGCTGCTTTCGATCACCCCAAGAATGCACATTGAAGATTTGCATGCACTGGGCAATGTCATCGCCTGCCAAATCCACTGTGACTCTATCGGTCATTGCAGAAACGACTTCGCTCATCTCAGCCATGATGTTGCGTATGTCCTGCACGCCTGCCTTTGTACAAAGATAATGAATTTTGTTCCCATAGTAGATCCTCACCAGATATGATGTGGTGCATACAAGAAAACTCAAGCAAACACAATCTTTGAGGATAATTAGGACCACACCTTAAGGATAAGCTTTCAATTTTCAAGCCAAGGCTCGGCTCAGGGAAGTCCACTTGCTCAAAAACCATTTGTGTCGCAGTCATTGAAGCTACATCAGCGGCACCTGGCGTTGCAGGGGCAGTTGGTGTTGCAGGGGCAGCTTGGGAAGCAGCAACTTTCGACGCATCTCCCAAAATGAATCCATCAATAAATAACGTCTTCATCCTGGCGCAAAAAGCAAGAACAGACTGCTTTGTCGTGGCCGGATCTGGGTCATCAATGTCGAAGCAGTCTCGCAAGAACGTCAAGCATTCCATGGTGTAGTCACACGTCAAACCACACCGGAAAACGCTAGCAGGAGTCATGTCCTCCAAAGCTGCCTGCGCCCTTGCTCGGACATCTCGAGCTCCTCGCTCCTGTGTGTACAGCTGTGCCCTAGGCAATAAAGAACACACACACACACACCTACCTGAAATTTCCAAGGAAATATAACTGAATCTGAATAATCATAACACAAATTGAACCACATTATGACAAGAATCGTCTGCTGCTTGCATTGCGCAGACCAAAGCGATTGCGCGGATCATGCAACAATATTTCAGCATGGGCGTGGCTGTGGAGTCAAATCGTTGCTTGGCAAAAGAGAAGGTATGGAGGATCTTGTTGATGTCTGCTCCCTGCGTTCTGCAAGATTTCAGCACTTCTGCCTGGGCTGCTATTAGTCGGGAGCGCCAAACCTCAGAATACTGAATGTCTGGCACCAGAGCATGTCTAGCTGAGAAAAGCCTGTCCCATTGACGTTGAAAAGGCTCTTGCGCATGCAAGGGGTCTTTGCTAGCAATACGAACCTGGTGCGCCATATCTGCGCTCAGCCATATTAGATTGGGCAGCTGGGGCAGCTGTGACAAGAGCTGGCCACACTTGGCTGCTGAAGCACCTTGATCTGAAGCATAGTGGCGAACCTTGCTGCACATTTGTTGATATGCATCTTCATCCACATATCCATCCATGTCCATGCAAACATCCTTCAACGCAGCAAGCACACTTTCAGCCATCTTCTCACTCTTGTCACGGTCATGCTCTGCAATGGTGTTTTCAGGCACATTCTGACCATTGCGGATCACCCCAACCAAGCCATTGGCAACTAAAGGCTCCATTGAAGCCCAGTCTTCAAGATTGCTGTCTTTTGACAAATGCAAAGCTGGGGCTGCTGAGGCGCCTGTGGCTTCCGTCCATTCCGCTAAGGAACGGAAACTACAACGGTAGCGTATGATGCGAAAATCGGCCCTGTCATCGACAGAAACTGAAATGCTTTCTGCGTGCAGCAAAATCTTCTTCCTCCTGCATTTCACCACCCAATGCATGATCTTAATCATCTGAGTCAAGCCTTGCATGGCGAGGCAATGAATACGAACTTAAACAATAATTTCCGATGCCTCCTAAAAAGAAATGCGTTCACATTTTCCAATATAAAATTTGCATCTGTATTGTGGAAACAAGATGTTCTTTCTGCTTACGCTGCAAGGACGTCCTGCAGCATAGTCCTCTGTCTCATAATGTTTCTGAGCCTTATTGAAACTAGCTGCTGTCTGGCATGAATTCCATGCTCGCAGCCAGTCCCTGGCTTGTGGCACATTCCCACGGTACAAGTCCTGCTCTTGAAGATTGTAGGGGGCTAGCTCGGAAACATTCCGGTCAGGGCAAAGGAAATGATTCTCGGCCATCCTGTGAACAGTGCTGGCCGAATGTTGCCTGATGCATGCAGCCTGCATACACTTCCTAGCAGAATGGGCAGCAAGGGCAGCAAGCACAGCAAAGAAATAGCTAGCCCTCAAAACAAAACTGTAATCCATTAAAAACATCATCAAGGTTGGGAATGAAATCAGCTCCTGGAGCGCACATCGAATGTCCCCCACTTCGTCGATGCACGGCTACCCATCCTCAATCTTGTTGAAGCTGCAGGATAAAAGTTTTGCATTGGGCATAGGGCACCGTACTTCCTAGGCATGAATACAAACTTTCTGGAATATTTGAAACCTGGGCACAAGCGCTTTCGTTCTTCAGGATATCTTGCCAAGGTGTGAACCAAATGTGCGCAGAAATTGCACCCAATGCCCCACATGCCACCTCTCCGAGCAGGCCTTTCAGACAACCACACCGTGCGCTGAGGCTTGCCCCAAGATGTGTGCTTCAAGCTTCCCAACTTTTTCCATTTCTCCTTGAATCGTAAAAACCTGCAGGGGGCCAATGCAAAGACACCGATGCACCGAGGCACATCCTCTCACTAGGAAGCAAATTTAAATTTCATAAGCCCGACTGAAAAGCTGTAGACAACTACTAACTCAACCCTTTTGGCAGGACAGTGGCGCACAGGTAAACAAAACAATACAAATCTCCGAATTGCCAAAGCAGATTGTATGAAACATGCAGATTGGCACCAGTAGTACCACACAAAGTGGTGGCGAAAGTTTCAAACATAGGAAACCTATAGGAGAGGTTGCTTGCTGTGAATCACAGATGGCAGAGCGAATCCACTGATCGACTGAAAGGTGGTTGAGGTCTCCTCTCTTTCTCTCTATTTCTCTCTGTTTCTCCGACTACCTACCTACTACCTAATGTATCTATCTATCTGTCTATCTATCTATCAATCGATCTATTATCTATCTATTAATCTATCTATCTTTCTATCTATCCACCTATCTGTCTATTATCTATCATCTTTCTTTCTTTCTACCAATCAATCAATCAATCAATCAATCTATCTATCTATCTATCCATCTACTCATCAATCACCAGCACCAGCGATATCAAATTCCATATATGGAATTCCGTTACTCTACTTGAATCGGCATGGCTGCTCTGGCTGCAGAGGGCAGCTTGACCAGACCCTTGGCCGCGCCGATTTGACCCTTCAATGCGCCATTTTGAAAAAACGCGCGTTGAAGGGTCAATTTGGCGCGTTGAAGGGTCAAATGCACATATGAATACATATATGTAATATAATATACATATATATAATATATATATATATACAGATATGTTTGTGTATAATATATGTATTTTTTTTATTTATTATACATGTATTTATATATGCACACAAAATTAAAATATATAATGTACAAATATGTAAACACAATATATATATATACATATACATATAATATATACATTTAGATGTATCATCATACTTTTTCAATATTAATTATTATATCTAATTTTGAAGGGCAGGGCTGCACTGCGAAACTTCCTCAATTTTGGAACTTGACAGCATCAAAAAAAAATGCGAAACCTCAATTTTTGAACTTGACAAAATCAAGAGCGAAACAAGTCTGCGAGATTTCCTCAATTTTCGAGGTAGACATTAAAAACGAAACAAATCTGGGAGACTTCCTCAATTTTTGAAGTAGACAATATCAAAATGCAATTCTGCGAGGCGTCCTCAAGTTTCGAAATAGACAATAACAATTCTGCAAGTTTTCCTTAATATTCGAGGTTGACAACATCAAAAACAAATCAATTCTGCGAGACTTCCTTCAAAAATGGAAAGTTGAGTGCAGAGCTGACGGCCTCATACCAATGCGTTCTGCGATTTTTTCACTCCACCTGTCTAAAGTGCTGCACATGTAACACAAAATCATCTCAGCAAACCTGAAGATCTGATGCTCCAAAATGCAACCCCTCTCAGGAAATCAGCGCCCTAACCTCCAAACAGCTCATGAACGTGTCACTTGTATTGTGCCTGCCACGCGAAAGACATCTTGCGAGATCCATCGTTTTAGGATATGCTACAAATCCCAGACGATTTGCTCACTTTTGACCAGGTGCATAATCCCTGAGGCCTGCCACGCAAAATGATATCTGAACGTCCAAAAGTGCTCCGAACCCGTCCGATTTTTTACACGTTTGACTTCGACATGTGCTTCGCGCCACAGCGGCATGCACTTTTTCGACATCTCAACTTCCAAACTTGCTCCAACACTGAAGTGTTTTGTACATTTTGAGTTCCAAATGTGCTTCGTGCCAAAACGGCATGCACTTTTTAGAAACCACAGCTTCCAAAAATGGTCTGAACATGGTCCAATGGTGTGCTCATTGACTTGGAAATGTGCTTCGCGCCACAATGGCGTGCAACTTTTCATCTCTCATCTGACCACATGGCTCCGCACCTAGGGTTAGTGAGCCTACTTTTCGATTCTCCGGAGCCACAAATCATTGGAAAAACACCGTGTTTCGCGGCTTTCCTACCTTTTCGTGCACCTGCACCTTCTTTCTTTTGATTCTTTCTCTGACTCTTCCCACCTCTGCTTTTCCATCCGTTTCAAAAGTTTGACTTCTAAACTTCCTTCGAAAATTGTTTTGCAGTTCCATCAATCAAAATATAATGCTGAACCCTTGGCACCTGCACCGGGCACAATGATCTTTATTGCCATGTCTGGCAACATGACTGACTTCAGACTCATCTGCCAATCCAACTGCGTCCCCCTCTGCATCTTCATCCAAGCTCTGGACGGCAGGATTTGCAGCAGGCTGCTGTTTGTTTGGAGGACGAGGCTGGCTTCCGTCTCCGCTGGGGCTGCTGGGGCTGCTGTCGCTGCTGGGCAGGCTGTGCAATCCCCCAGCGATTGCCAACATGATTGGCACCAGCAGAAGAAGAGGAATTCAATATTTTTCTCTTCTTAGAAGACGTGGCAGTTTGGGGTCCAGAAGCCGCACTGCACCATCGGTCACGTAGACGCTTCATTAAATTCCAAACTGTAAGTTTGATGATCTAGCCAATGTTATTGTTATTATTACTACTACTATGATTTTATCAAAAGTGCAGTGAGGGAGATTGACTTCAAAAATGGACTGCTTGGGCGGCTTGGGCTTGGGCTGCATAGTAGATGTGTCTCAACTTGGTGGGGCCCAACAAAGATTACCCATCAAGTGAAAGGCGCAGAGCTATTTGGGTAAAAGCTGAACCAAACAACCAGGGCCAGCACAAACATGCATGCACACACGCACACGCATGCCCACACACAGGCACCGCTGGATGCACCTCGAAGAAAGCCCTCTGAGGTGAGCTCACTCTGGGTCCTGCAATCCATCAAAGAGTGCCCATGTCTAATGCTGCTACAAAAGAATGCAAAGCTGCGCATCTTGCTCATGTAGTGACAAAGCGCGTTGGCTGAAACAAAATGATGAAACACCCTTGGCCCTGCCTTTTTGTTGAAGTGCTCCAGGCAGAGAAACCCGAGGAACCCTGCAAGAATTGAAGGAGTAAAAGTGGTGAGCTTGGTGCTGAATAGCTAGTCTGCAAGAAGATTGATGAATAAATGCTTCAATATTTGAAATGCTGAATGTGGCACTCAATTCTTGAGGAGCTTTGAACGAAGAACAAAATGGCACAAGCATGAGCTGAGACAGCGTACCTGTTGTGCTAGCGCAAGAGCAAATCACGGCTATGGGCAGCAGAGACAGCTGACAGAATTGCCTGCTCAAGATGAGGACTGTCAATTGCCAGGTGAATCAAATCTTTGCCAAGCAAAAGGCAGCCTCAAAACAACACATCATACCCACTGAAGGCTTCAGCCTCCAGCCAAATGCAGCTTTGAAGAAATTCAGCAACGCCCGATGACCTCAAATGCACTTCACGTTTTCAACCTGTCTTCATTTGCCTGAAGTCTGGAGTCTGAATGACAGCAACATCCAAAACTGGCTACCAAAAAAGATTTAGAAGAAAACAAAGAGTGGGCTAGCTCACTCCCATACACGCGTGGCCTTGCCACGCTTCGGCCAACTGTAGCAATCCTGTGGAGCACTGCCTTCCATCAAAGCCAAGTAGACAGGAGCAAAATTGCTTTCTGGCAAACATGATGAAAGAATGTAAGGCAAATTGCAGGATGAATGAAGCACACAGGGCTTAACCATAACCAATCTTTCATTGGCTTCATGGATGGAACGCCTTGCCTGGATGCTCAAGGGCCTGCAAGCAACACCTGACTGTTTGCAGCAAATTTTGGGCATCTACAAAGGGTGAAGCATGCATGGATATGACAAGATACGGAAGCATTGCTGTGCCCCAAAAAAACCTTAACAAAAGTCTGGGCCTGGTCCGTCAAATGATCAGAGCTTGGGCAGCAGGCGCGGTGCAAATAGGCAGCCACCTGTCAAGGCGCTTTGAAATCAACGTTGCCTATGCCAACTTTCACCGAAAAGATATGCCGAAAGAATTGCAGCCAAACTCCCTGGGTCCCTGAGAGTTGCACAGAAGCTGCGCCTGCTGCAGCCGCACCCTTACTTGCAGGCCAGCGCCAGCCTGATGCAAGTGTCCGGTGAGGCATGTGTTGCTTCAGGATGGGGGGCAATTAAATGAAGTTACATGAAACGACGCAAATCCTACAAGATCCAATCAGATTCGACTATATACTTCAAGCCAGGCAAGCTAAACAAAGAGCCGCCACATTTTTCCCTCAGCTGTGCTGGTCTGGGAAGATGCCACTGTTGGCGCTGCGCGGCACACACTGCAAAAATCTATTCGTGCTGTGTGGCTCCACGCAAATTTGTGCAGCTTGGGCAGCTTTGCACCTACTGATGCCTCCCCCAACCCTGCTGGTGCTGCCCCCAACCCTGTTGGCTACCTTGCTGGTGTCCCCAACCCTTTTGGTCACGCTGTTGCCAATCTCCCCAGCCCCTCTGGCCACCTTGCTGCTGGCCCCAACCTTGCCACTCATCATCCTCCTCGTCCTCCTGCCATGGATCATCATCTGCAGGAGCTGCAGCCGGAGCAGGTTCAGGTGCAGGTGCAGCAGAAGAAGCTGGTGCAGCAGAAGAAGCTGGTGCATCAGAAGAAGCTGCAGCAGCTGCCGGAAACACACCGGCCGAAGGATTCGGCATGGCCTTGGGAGCAGGGGCAGCTTGGGCAGGCTGGAACTGTGGGAACTGCTGAAAGGGCGGAAACAGCAGCGGCTGAAATGGCTGTGGCTGCGGATTCTGCGGCCATCCTTGGCCACCTTTCCTAGGAGCAACTTCGAAACCTTTGCCTTTGCCTTTGCCTGCTGCTGCAGGTTGAAAAACTTGACGCATCTGATGAGCAAACTTGGCCAGCTCCATGTCACCGGTGTTCTTCAAAGTCACGCGGCAATATTTGTCGGTCTGCACGTTCGGCTGCTGGATGCCGCTGAGCAAGCCTGAGGGAGCTTCAGAGCATTTGGCGATGGTGACAGTGAACGGCTTGCCTTTCGCATCCAAATGTCGCTGAAGGCGCATTGCAAGAACGCAGGTGCTGCTGCCCTTCTTGGCAACCAGGGCTCTCTCCTCAGCAATGCAATTGACATTGAAAAGAAACAAAGTTAATTCATAAACCGCCCTTTGAAATCAACCCAAAATGACCTGCATTTGATGCGATCACCAAACATGCTTGGGTGATCAAGTCACAGTTTTCAGTTAGCATCCTGCAATAAAAGGCAACCTATTGCCCCAAAAATGATCATCACCTGATGCGATCACCAAACCAAGCTGGAAGAGCGCATTAAATCCCAACATCCACTGCCAAGAAACCAATGTCAAGCCATCCCAAAGCAATCCAAAATCGTCCTCAGTCTGGCCGGTCCAGAGGATGCTGCAGGGGCCGCGGGTGCCTGGTCTGTAGACCCATCGCTGATCGTCGAAATCCCCTTTCAGGCACTCAGCCTTGCAGGGACTGGCAGAGAAATTAAAAAACCTGATGCTGCAACATCTCCCCTGATTCCAATCCCTAACATGCCCCTGTAATCAAACCACTGCAATCTTTGACAACTAACTAGTATGATTTTCCAATTAAATCAACTAATATAATAACTAACTAGCCGGTTCACTAATAAAGTATGAGGGTTGATACTCTAAATTAGCAAGCCAAATGAAGAGGCAATATTGATGTTGCTGTTGCCATTGCTGTGGCCACTGCTGTGGCTGTTGCTGTTGTTGTTGCTGTTGTTGTTGCTGTTGTTGTTGCTGCCAGTGCTGCCGCGGTGGTGGTAGCGGTGGTAGCGGTGGTAGCGGTGGTGGCGGTGGTGGCGGTGGTGGCGGTTGCTGCTGCTGCTGCTGCTGCTGCTGCTGCTGCTGGCTGTGGCTGTGGCTGTGGCTGTTGCTGTAGTTGTGGTTGTGGTTGTGGTTGTGGTGGTTCTTGATCTGGTCCTTGTTACTGTTTTTGTTATTGTTATTGCTCTTCTTCCTGTTGTTGTTGTTCTTCTTCTTCCTTCTGATAAAATCTCGAATCGTGTTTTTGTTATTGTTCTCATTGGTTCTAATTCGTGTGTCTTGTCCTTGTCCTTGCCCTTTTCCTTTTAATTATTATTGCATTTTATTACTACTGAGGCTGCTATTACTTATTTCTACCCATGCCCAGCCTGTAGTACCCAGCAGGGGCTGTCGAACTTCTTCTGCTGCACGTCAGCTGGCCGGAAGCTGAGGATATAAAAAAATCCTTCAGCAGACACCCAAATGGATTGGGTAGTTGGCCCTGGCATCTCGCCAAAGTCAAAAAATTGCGCATTGCCAGGCTGGAGATTGTGGACCAAGGCATAGTCTTCATTGTTGAGGTACTGCTTGGACTTGAGGGCATACCTCACACCTCCACACTCTTGCTCTTCAATCTTGTGGCCAAAATGAACGCCAAAGAAGGAGGCATTGACAGTGTCCTTGTTGGATTCCTCCAAAGACTTGAGGCGCAGGTTCCCTGCCATGGCGTCGAAATTGCGTAGCTCGGTGCCGCTGGTGCGCAGTTGGGCAAGGTCCAGGAACTTGTTCGCCATGCTGAGAACGTCATTGGCATAGAGCAGCAGCGGCATCAAATTGCCCCCAGTGCCAATGGGAAGCGCCCAGCCAGCCCATGCAAGGTTCTGATGACAGGGGCTGGGAGACAAATTTAGCTTGGGAAGGAAATCCCACCAAACAACTATGATGCAGAAAATAAACATATCTTAGCAACAAATTGTCAAGTAATTTGCAACAAACGTGTAATTCATTGATCAGTTCAATGATGTTTTGAGTGTTTTGTTTTCAAATTTCAACGCTCCCATCCTCCTCTGGCTCAATAAGCGGGTATCCCCTGGCAGCACCGTTCATAGAGAAGGGTAAGATGAAGATGTTGCACAGAAGCGTTCCACCATCGCAGTGACCGGCCCCTGAGAACTGCTGGAGGAGCTCACGCACAATGGCAGCCAACTCAGCAGGGAAGCAATGAAACACCAGAGGATTAAAATTACTTGTAACAATTTTTAATATTCTTGGCGCCCCCATGACATGAAACGCAGATCCATGTCCAGAAAAATATTCTTTGACCACATGATGCCGAGCTGCCACAGAGAACTTCTTTGGAATGCTATTGTGCGGAGGAATCAGCTTCAGCAAATCGCGGGCTTCCTCCACAATGTTGGCTTCGCTGGGCTGCAGGGTCAAGCCTCAAGCATGCGCAAAAGCAGGCACATAATGGATCCTCTATCAGATGAGCATCCTGGGAAAAAGCCCAACAAATGTGCAAATTGAAAACCTTATTAGTTCATATTATGGAAATGGAAAGCTTTACTAAATCACATCAAAGTGCCGACGGACATGGACATATTGTTCTTGTCAGCACCAGGGAAGAAACTCAACACCATGGTGTTAAATCCGAACATTGCCCATGAGAAATCTTTGGACGTGTCGTAGACTTCATTGAAAATGGCAGGGGCATGGGTGCGAGCTACGGCATGGTGCTTAATTTCTTCCTGGCCCAGCAGCAGACCTTCCATTCGCAAGCCAAAGGTGCTGCCAACAGCTTGCCTCACGCTCTCTGCGATATCCATTCGCTGGCGCTGGGCAGCAGCAGTTTGGGCAGCTTGGGCAGCAGGGACAAGGCCAGTTTCAGATTGGGGCACCAATCTCCCTTCCACAACCAGCTCATCTGGCCCTGGCCCATCATCTCCATGCTCCGCCTCATTGTAGTCCTCAATCAATGGCGCGCCATCAGGAGGACCAGCCTCAGCAGGTGCTTCGGCGGCATGGGCAGCTTCTGCCGCAGCAGGGGCTGCTTCAGCAGGGCGGGCTGCTTCGGCAGCAGGAGCTCCGGCAGGATGAGCTGCTTCGGCAGCAGGTGCAGCTGCAACACCAGCAGCGTCTGCAGCCTCCATGGCGGCCAATGCCTCTGCCAGGGCAGCAGCAGGAGCTGCCATCACCAGCACAAGACGGCGAAGTGAACGCACAGGGGCGGCTTGGGCAAACAGTGGTGCTGGGGATGGAAGAATGAAGCAATCCATGCAGGGCTGCTAAAACTAGAATGCACTTCATTGATAAAAAAACCTTAACCACAAACACTGCCGACCACAGCACTGACAAGTCCAAGCCTTCTCCAAGTGCTGTAGTGGGAAAGGCAGCGGCAGCAGGAGCAGCAAGGTCAGGCCTGAGCAGGAATACTTAGACTAGCGGCTTATGAATGGAAATGGAATTGGTAATTTATTAATACTGCATAATTTGACCCTTCAACGCGACCATATGACCCTTCAATGTCACGTTTTGTTTTTTTTGCGCGTTGAAAGGTTCTGAGGGCGCGGCGAAGGGTCAGGATAATCAGGAAGATGAGGAATGCAGAGCCGCTTGGGCAGCGTGGCCAGGCAGGGATGCTGGAATGGAATGAACTACTACTAACTCAACCCTTTTGACTGGACAGTGGCTCACGGGTGTGAAGAAAACAGCAAAAAATAAAAAATGTTCGAATTGCCAAGGCAGTATCTGTTCATTCATGTATTTATGTATCAATTCCTTTATTTATTTGTCTACGTCTTTATTTGTGTGTATATGTTTGCATATGTGTTTCTGTGTATATATATATAGCATACTATATAATTATATATATATGATTATATGTGCGTGTATATATATATATATATTTATTTATTTATATTATATGTACAGATACGTGGCCACACAAACATAGCTGGGCGTCTTTCATGTAAAAGATTGTGGTGGGAATTTGTTTTTCAACTCGAGGACTTCGTTGCTTCACCGAGTGGCCATCCCTGGCTGTCGCTCAACTGTCGCTCCATCAACAGCACCTGGTCTTTCAGTGCCATCATCTGCTCCAGTTCATCTTCCCTCAGGCTGTGCAATGGCCACTGAGTCAACTGAGTCCCCCACAGACCACAAAAATGTTGGGTCAGGTGAGTCAGGTTCCCAGGTTCCTGTCCCAATTCAACGATGTTCCATAAAAATGTGACCTCAAAAAAAAACACCAACGAGTTTCCTACTGAAGCAAATCAACCCAGCAAATCACTGGATACTTTCGATGGGAAACCCCTGCTGCCAGCGCCACTTCTCGGCGAGTCACTCTGGATCCTGGCGTTGAAGCGCCGCATTTTTGGAATGATGGGAACTGGTATGAGTCAAAGTTCCTTTGTTTGAACTTTCTAAAGTTAAGAGCCAACTTAGGTATTGCTTTGTTTTTAGCCCCGAACGCTTGGAATTGGGAACATTTAGGCATTTGCCATGCTGAAAATGCAGGCCAAATATGGGATCGTTACTATTGAAATGGCCATCCCCCAGGAATCAAAAAGTAATGTGACTCTACATCGTCATCGTCATCGTCATCGTCATCATCATCATCATCATCATCATCATCATCATCGTCATCATCATCATCATCGTCATCGTGGTCACCGTGGTCATCAGAATGATCATCAACATCACCAAGCATTAATATGCATTAATACTCATCCGTGGCACGCCAAGCACAGCCCGGAGCATCCGTAAAATCAGTGGGCTGCTCATCATCTGTAGGCCATAGTGACCATAGTGAGAAAGGGCCACATGGGCCTACCACCATTGACAATCCTACCGCCATTCAAAGAATCCTCTGGTTTCAACCATCGGCCATCGACATCAATCGAGATCGCAGTCATGTGCACCCCATCTCGATGATGGCCATCGCATCTCTTTTTGCTGCCCATGTGCTCACTGTCTCACAGATGTTTGTTTCCCCGTATATGATGTTCAAGGACCGTGGATTTCCCAACTTTTTGAGAATGTCAATCCAGTGAATGCAAAAACAAGATGTGTCGTGTTTTTGGTATACGTTTGATTTTCTCGCAGACTAACAATAAATGTCTTTCACGGTTGCGCCGTTTTCACATATGGGAAATCCACCGTGAATCCAGATCGTTTCCTGCGAAAGCCATGCTCGTGTTCCAGATTGTTTTGTTACTCCCTCTAGCTCCATAAAATCCATCAGAAAAAATCGTCGCAAGTTCACTTCGTGGCCCTCGTTTTTGGATGTTTTTCGAGCTTCAAAAAAGCGATGTTTGGGCCGGGAAATCCCCATCTAGTTCCATCAAATCCATGAAATCCGACCGGGATCTACCAAAATCTTCTTTGTTTACATGTTTCAACCATAAACCCATCATAAATTTAACCCGTCATTTTTTCGCTGCTTCCACCATCTTCCAACCATCCGTGTCCCTTCACCACCCGTGGCGCTACGACGGCGCCAGCCGCCTCGATCCGTTCCATGGCCTGCAGCTGCCTCTTGAGCCGATCCCGGCGCTTCGTCAGCTCCTGCGGAGCCAGTGGATTTAGTGGATCATCAGTATCGCTAAAGTTATCAATCCAAATATAGATAATATATTATAGTTATCTATGATAGACTATCATTTACTAATAATATAGATTATAGTGATCTATTTGTCTATTATCATGATTCTTATAGAAATTAGATATCTATTATCTATTATAGATACACTATTAGTAATAGATGATGTGTCTATTATCTATATCTATATCTATCTACCATTTTGATAGTGTATCCGATAATTATCGAAATGCAATAATGCAATGAGGAATATTATGAAATAGTGTATCACTAGAATTAGCATGATCAACGGATTTCAATACATCTGTGTTTTTGGAAAGTGCTATCCGAGAATCATAAATACAAGTGTGAAATAGATCATCAGATCAAATTATTTAACTATCAGACTATCTGGTCCGAAAATATGTATGTATGTGTATATATATATATGTATGGTATCCATACAATTGTATAATCTAATTATCTATGTCATGTATATATATATATACAATTATAGTGCTATATGTATAATTATAATGATATTATCAGATTCTGAATTGAACTGTAATATCACTACAGTTGTGTATATATATATATACATAATGGAAATCTCACGATATACTTGTAAGGGTTCTGATTATATATATATATATTATATTATTAACTGAACTTATTAAAACTAGAACCGGATGAACTATGAGATCATAAGTCATATATCATATAATATGATGTATCACGAAAAAAGAGAAGAGATCATGAAAATTATCTATGAAGCAATATCTCGAGAAATAAATGGGGAAAAAAAACATGGAAGAGATATGGAATAGCTACTTCGAAGTCAATCTCATAAAGTATCTTCAAAATTGGAATCACATGTATTTTTATGGGCCTACCAAAGTTCTTCCCCTGAACCTACCACCTCGGGATGCTTCAACAAGGTACCCAGGACCTATGGAGGGCCCCAATATATGAAGGCTACAGTAGTATAAACCCCCAAAATCATGAAGCAACCATCAAGCAACCACAATCTATCAACTCGATCACCATATTTCTTGTGCTTAAAACTCCTTGGCATGATGGTTTGCCATTGAATAGTCATCAACCAACCATGATTTGTCGTTGTTTCTTACTCATATCCCCGACTCATATCCGCAGTGTCAATGGTTAAATACCCTAGATAGGTAATGTGATTTGAAACACCATTGAATCCCGAAATCCCACCAAGTCCCATTGAATCACCGTTCAATGCCCATGATATAAGCTCGTGGTTTCCCCTCTTAAATCATCTTACGATGCCTGGGGTCCGTGCCCAAGTAGGGTAATCACGGCCTTTCATGGCTATGGGTCAAAACTCCGCCGTTCACCTCAAACTAGCTGGGAATTGTGGATCTTCATCCCCCAAAATATGGTTTTCTGATAGGTGTTGGACCATATTATGATTTCGTAATTGCCATTAGTCATTCGATAATAACCATTAATGATCACTAGTCATTAATAACTAGTGACCATCAATCATCATTAAAAACCAATAATTTACAGTCATGAATAACCATCCATAACCATCAAACTCATGTGAGTTGTGTAGCATGACATGTCAAGATCCCAAACACGGCCTGTACCCGTCGCGTGGCTGCCAGACCAGTCGCGTCCAGGGGTTCCTTAGTCGAACGCAACGAGAGATGAAGATTTCACCATGAAAAATGGCCCATAGAAATAGATGGTTTACCTAACTTAACAGCATGGTGGATCTTTCCATGGCTATGTTCAATAAGCAGATGGCAACGTTCTTTAACAGGTGGAAGAATGATGAGTTTAATTTGACTATAAAGATGGTGGAATTCACCCACAAATGTGAAAACGGTGGTAGAATCGCCATCAAAAACATCGATGAAAATAAGGGGGCTGGTTGGTTTAACCATTGAATTCACGAACAGATATGAATTGCAATAGGTTTGTTCAAGGGAAATTGCAATGGATTTGACCAACAACATATGCCCTGGCAAACCAAAAAATCCGGGGAGGGGCGGACAAAATTGAAGGTAAGCAATCAACAGAATAAGGGGATTTTGATCACACCATCCAATAATTACATACTGTAATTGGACGGTGAGTTCGAGATACAAAATCAATATATAATAATCCCAATGATTTATCTGGGTTATCTAATTGAGATGCTGATAGGATGATAGGATGATGCTGAGATAGTCAACCAAAGTTTTGATATCACCAAGCAATCCTTATCTTCGGACGCGTCAAAATTTCAGGCCAAGAACGGCGGCCATCCTGGGTGAAGTACCCAGGAATCGTATAGAAGTGGCTGAGTGAAAACCCCAGTCACAAGTAGGGCTAGTCAGTTAGTTAGTCCACTAACTAACCAAATTGGGGTGTTCACTAAGCCACAAACATGATTCTGCAGGATGTCCATCCGATAGCTGTGATCAATTCAGCGGCTGGGTTGCCACATCGGGGGTAAGCATGTCATTCGCAAGCCCCTAGGTTGAATCATGAGGCATTCCCAGTAATGGATTGCTAACAAAAATCACTATCCCATTGCTACCAGCCTCCCAAATCCCAGAAATGAATAGAATGAGTCACCGTCTCATCACATGGAGGTTTCCTGAAATGGGGGTACCCCCAAATCTTTCATTTTTGTAGGATTTTCCCTGAAAAATTACCATCCAGCTATTGGGAACCCCC